CCATCATATAAGCGAGCGAATAAATTTCTGATAAATAATACTGTACCTGTATATCCACTCCAACAGCATCTAAGCCATGATACATTATCTCAACCCAGCCATCTTTCGAGGCCAGAACAAACAATGCCATCAAAGCCTGCAAAAATAGGATAATACACTGAAGTTTATAGAAGTTTTTTACTTATTTTCCAATATAGAAGATTCCATGTCCAGTTTTATAATACACGTATAAAATGTATTTCAGCACAAGTACGACATGATTTGAATAAATATTGAATTTGCCCCCCCCCCCCGAGTTCCTTGCATGGATTGAGTGAAAATAAATATTTCTATGCCAAAAAAAACAATCTATTACACCTCTTTATGTATATGTTTGGTATGACAAGATGTTTGTAAATATCTAGAAAAATCTTGCCTTTCGATAATATATGTCATTCAACACAATCAGCTGAGACGGGACAAACATTCACCTTAATTCATGGGGATCATTGTTCAGTAATATTAGGGCTGAAAACCCCCAAAACTACAATATAGCTTGAGTTGTCCCAGTAAAACAGTCGTCTTAAAACCAATGCATTGGGCAGCTTCAACTATAAATTGCGTACTTTGAAATAAAAAAATTTAAGAAGTCGAATAGCATCAGGGAATATTAATAACAATTCTTACCAGTCGCTAAATTTATTTTAGTCAAATCCATAAAAGTCATAAGTTTTTCAACATTTGTTAGCAACTTCTGTGCTAAAATGGTTAAAAAAGTGGGTGTGGATCTCTCGCAAAGGCCTGTTGATAATACGGACAAATATAGTTCTGTGACCCAGAACGTGCTCTGATCAGGTGACTCTAAGCTAATCAATGATGGTGTACCAAAGTGTATTTTACACAAATTGAAAAGTCATTGTACCATCCAATTCCAGGTGTTGATTCACATTCGATATATTTTCACAAAGAGATAAAACTTGATCTCAGAGAGAGCGAAATATACCAAATGTACCAAATATCATGGAAATGTAGTAATTGGTTTTCCAGATATTAATGGAAAAAATAGAAAACAGACAAACATCATGCAATTTTAATAGCTAATTAGTATACAAAGATTTCCCACATCATAACATAAAACAGAAGTGCTTTTATTAATTTTTAATTTCAAAATGAGATATATTATGTATGTGAACATGATTGGTCCAGGCATACATGACGGATGGAAGCACAGACATGAAAGTATAAGTCCAATTTCCAGACTTCATTCAAACGTGGAACTAATAAAATACTTACTTGTCCTAGATCATCAAAATTATATTTTCGATTTATCCAATGGTTACCGTCAGATAAACAGTGGGTTTTATTTTTGATATGTCTGATTTCTGTACCAACACAGTGATAAAAAGTACCTTTAAATAACTGGAATAGAATAAAGTAGACAATGGTGAAATATCTAAATAAACAAAGTATTAGCTTTTTACATTGTTATTTCACATAGAACATTTGTTGCCAAATGGAAAACAAAACTGAAGACATGAAAAGCACTCTAAAATTCTAATGTCCATATTGGTGTCACTCAGTATATGTGCTGTTGCCAGGTAACCAAGAAAATATCATTAACAAGCAGCCATTCAGCTGATATAGCTCCACTGCATAATTAAATAGTTGAAAATAGCATTTTTCACTTTTTACCAAAAATGACAAAAATATTCATCATGATGAAGATATCAATGAACAAATCTAAGAAAGGTCTACCCAAGGTACATGTACACCACGTATCAAAGCATTCAGTCAAAAATTAAAGCTGCAAGCAGCATCACCGAGGCCCAAGCTTTCAAACATACATGTATATTCCATAAATGATGACGTTACTGGATTACCATTAAGATAATTTCAATGGTCTGTACTATGAGGTTGAAATGCAGATGGTTCCATGTATTTACCTGGTTTGGTTATCGAGATATGTTTTTTTGAAAATATAATGAGCCATGCATATTAATGATCACGCATGCTTGGGCCCCTAAATATATTTGTTGAGATATAAAGGTTATGCATACTAATGAGTTCACATGATAATATATGGTCATCACTTGTAATATATATATGGTTATTTTAATGAAATCTCTTTTTCAACGTTGTCATAATAACACAAGATTCATCTTCCTAAGGGATGACGTCAAAAGATTGATGTGGGATAAAAAAAAAAAATTCCTTTAGTTTTTTTCAAAACCCCCTCACCCCCCACTGAAACTTAATTGATAAATATTGGTCATGGCGTCAGACTATATTCACCATTAAATACAAATTGATAATCGGACAGTAGTATGGCATAGCAGTTGGTTGGGTGTAAAAAGACTTTACAAATGCACCTCATTTGACACACATATTTACACTTGGACCAAACCATTTTCTCATCTTAGGGTTTTTTTTTTCATTTTCTGTTATTTCTGTCCATGATTGGATAGAAAAAAAACGAACTACAAATACTCCAAGATTTTTGTTGACTTCATTAAAAAATAAAATCGTTTTTGTAATATTGAAACTTTTTGAGGTCAAAACCCTCCACCCCTAAACTAAAACAAAGAAGTTTTTTATCTGACATTGATCTTTTGACGTCGTCCCTAACTGCAACAGTGTTTGAGATATAATGGTTATGCATATTAATGAGTTCACATGACCATATATGGTCATCTGTTATTTTAATCAAATCTCTTGTTCAACGTTGTCATAATAACACAGGATTCATCTTCCTAACTACAACAGTGCTTGAGATATAACGGCTATGCATATTAATTAGGTTAGAAGCCCCCACCTCATAGGCGCTCAAGCGACCATGTGGCCTAGCAGTGTGCTGTTGGGGCAAACTGAAATGCGTGGCATGTATTGAAGATAAAACACCTTATTGAAGAACATTTTGCCAAGTGGTTCTGAAGAAGAAGATTTATAAGTGTTTTTTACAGTTTTTTGGAGAAAAAGATGGCGGAATAAGTCATGTGACCTAGAAACGCCT